GTCCAAAGTTCTCCTGCGCCTTGCTTGCGACTTTCTTCGACGACGGTGGGACGTATACGTTCCCTAGTTTCTCACCCCGCTCCCCAGGTATCTTAAGTCATAGTCTTTCCTCGAACTCCGTTTTCACCACTACTTCCACCACGTCAAACAAGTGTTCCTTGACCAGGAATCCGACTCCCCCCTCCTCCCTCCCCCTTTTGTTCGGGTCTAAGCCCTTTCTTGCCTTCCCTACCCACCGGTATTTCCCTAGTTTGCTTACCACGTCACCATCCTTCTGTTCGATAAAGTTACACCATTAGACTAGTCAGCGCTGACGAGTCTAATGGTGTAACTTAATCTTTTGAAAGATATGCTCAGAGCTCATTTGCACCCGGCTGGATCACATTTTTGGGTTTGTGAGTAGAGATCTAGTCAGCGCGACAAAAAGTTTCACGCACGGGTTCGGATCCCGGCTACTCACTCTCCCAAGCACCATTAAGTTCATTTCAGGCAGCGTCTGGCAAGGGGTCCGTCCCCGGAGATCTCTACTCACGAACCCAAAAATGTGATCCTGCCGGGTGCAAATGAGCTCTGAGCATATCTTTTGTTCGATAAAGTTACACCATTAGACTAGCGACTAGTCTAATGGTGTAACTTAATCTTTCACCTTCAATTCCCACGTCTCTTGGATCCCCACTACATTTAAATCGCTTTGCTCTATTCGGTCCACTATTTCCAACCGCTTGCAACAGGGTTTTCACACGATTGAGAGCGAAGTTTCCGATTGAGAGCGAGAACCAAAAAAAATCGAAATTCGGGTCCAGACGCCTCCCATCATTTCTCGGGAAGCAGGGGACGGGCTCTTCCAAAAAGCGGCGCAAATTGAAGCTCTATTCAGCAGCTTCGCGTGCATGTGCGTGTCACTGCGATCGGCTGCAGCAGCGAGGAGCCACGCACGTTGCTAGATTTCCCCAGATTGGCTANATTCAGCAGCTTCGCGTGCATGTGCGTGTCACTGCGATCGGCTGCAGCAGCGAGGAGCCACGCACGTTGCTAGATTTCCCCAGATTGGCTATT